GCGGGGCAGCAGCTGGGAGCCTCACTCGGGGATGGGACAGGGAAGGCCGGGTGCCTGACCTTCAAGGTTGCATCTACTACCCCAGGCGGGAGGAAGGACTGCTGGGTTGTGGGGCAGGGGCAGGCAGGGACTCCCGTGAATCACCTGCTTCTGGAGGCTGGAAAGCTGGTAGCTGAGGGACTCAACTCGCATGCGTGCCTCCTTCAGCTCCTCACGGGCAGCGCTGGCGGCCTTATCATTCTGGTCAGAGCACAGCTTGGCATTGTCCAGCTGAGGAGACAGGAGCAGGAAGATGAGGCACTGGGTGGGGGGCAGGAGGACCTGTACTTCCCCACCTGTGCTCTTCCCCCTCCCTGTCCCATCCCATCCATCCCATCCCACCCGCCATCTCCTGCCCCCTTCCCACCAGCACCTTGGCCTGGTAGGCCTGCTCCAGCTCCAGCTTGTAGAGCCGCACTTGCTCGTCGTGCTGGCTTCGCAGCTCCTCCAGTGCCTGTGCCATCTTGAAGTCGTACTCCTGCTGCCGGCCGCTGTCCACCTCCACTAGGTGCCGCTCATGCTGCCGGCGTGTCTCCCGCACCTCCTGGGGACAGAGCACGCTGACCCACTGAGGCAGGCAGCAGGCTGGTGGGCGGGGATTAACACCCCCAGCCCTGCCACCAACCCATCCTGCTCACTAGTGTCTTCCACCCAAGTGTCGGGTGTAAGCGAGGGCTCAAAAGTGCAAACAGGGAACCTGTGAGCAGTCACCCCGGTTTCACAAATTATTAATGAATACACATTTCACAACCACCGGAGAGCACACAGCCCAACGTCCTTCAAATGATGAATGGGCAAACACAACGTGGTTCATCCACACAGTGGAGTATTCCTCAGCCACGAAAAGGAGCGAAGCACTGACACTCACTACAACATGGATGGTCCTTGAACACATGGTGCCCAGTGAGAGGAGCCAGACACAGAAGGCCACACCGTGTGTGAGTCCATGTATGTGAACTGTCCAGAACAGGCTCATCCTCAGACAGGAAGTAGGGGGTTTGGGGGAAACTGCTAATGGGTGCCAGGCTTCTTTTTGGGGTGATGAAATGTTCTAGAATTAGAGGTGATGGTTGCTCAACCGTGTTGAATATACTAAAAACCACTCTAAAAGCTTTATGACATGGGAATATTTCAATGAAGTTGTTAATAAAAAATACTTCTGACCAGGTCTGTCCCAGGTGCCCAGGGCCCGAGACATCTGGCCATCAGGACACTAGGGGGTGTGACAGTCACAGCTAGTAAACCAGCAGGTGGAGTCCAAACCACAAGTGCACCGATGCAGCTGCCCCCGGCTCACGGTGGGGCCAAGTGCAGGTGGGGGGCAGGCTAGGGGGCTCCAGAGGACGAGGATCCTCTCCCACCCGTGCCAGCTCAGAAACCAGTCGCTGTCACTGTGTCATCCGTTTGTAAGTACAACAGGAGTATCACCCCAGGAAGCCAATCACGTTCACAGAACTAATGACTCTTGTGGAACCCATGACAGCACACCCACCTTCACCACACATCCCACAGCTACTCGCCAGGTCCCGCTTGCAGTGCCCTGCGCACCCCTCACTGCACCCCTATGGCTCCCTTCACAGTCTGCTTCGTGGTCCCCCCAGGAGCTCATCACAGCCCACCTCAAGGACCCCTTCCACGGTGTCCTCCCATCACCCCACACGGGCCTCTTCATTGGTCCCTGGTAGACTTGGGTACCTTCATGGGCGCCTCCTCAGCAGCTCTCCTGGCCTTCTCCCTGCCTCCCCTGGAGGCCCTGGCTGTCATGGGGCCTGGCTGGAGCCACAGACCACTTCTCAGCTGCATGTGTGCCCTCCTGCCAGCAGCTCTTCCCGGCCCAGGAACTGCCCACTGCCCGGCCGCAGGGTTCCATCTGGGCCATGGCAGCACAATGGGCCCTGTGATGATGATGTGGGAGGGCCCCCACATGGGCCCCTTCCAGAGGACACAGAGCCCTAGCTCTAACTGTGGGGCCTCAATCCCTCCCAGCCAGGAGCCAAGGCACAGGGATTACAAAGTTGGGGGTGAGAGGTGACCAGACCCCGGACCAGAGGGGAATGCTGGCCCACCCTGCCCTTTGACGGGGAGGCCTGGAGTGGACTGAATGGTGGCCCCATAAGGGTATACCTGCACCCTGGCCAGTGTGGCTCCCTTGGTTGGAGCATCATCCCATACACCAAAGGGTGGCGGGTTCGATCCCCGATTGGGACATGTGCAGGAGGCAACTGATCAATCGATGATTCTCTCTACCCCTCTGTAAAAAAAAAAAAAAAAAGGTATAGCCATATCCTAATCCCCAGAACCTGAGTGTAACCTTAATTTAAAAAGAAAAAAGACTTGTCGTAACCGACTTGGCTCAGTGGATAGAGCGTCGGCCTGCGGACTGAAAGGTCCCAGGTTCGATTCTGGTCAAGGGCATGTACCTTGGTTGCGGGCACATCCCCAGTAGGAGGTGTGCAGGAGGCAGCTGATCGATGTTTCTCTCTCATCGATGTTTCTAACTATCTCTCTCCCTTCATCTCTGTAAAAAATCAATAAAATATATTTTTTTTAAAAAAGAAAAAAGACTTTGCAGATATAATTAAGTTATGGGTTTCAAGGCAAGATCACCCTGGATTATTCAGGTGGGCCCTAAACCCAATGACAAGTGTCCATCTTTTTAAAAAAATCCTCCCCCAAGTATACTTTTTCCATTGATTTTAAGACAGTAGAAGGGAGGGAGGTGGGCGGGAGAGAGAGAGAAACATTGACGTGAGAGAGACACATTGATTAGCTGACTCCCGAATGTGCCCCAACTGGGGTCGGGGATCAAATCCATAACCCAGGTTCTATGCCCTTGACTGGGAATCAAACCCGAGACCCTTCAGTCTGTGGGCTGACACTCTAACCATTGAGAAACCCAGCCAGGGCAAGTATCCATCTTAAGAGACACCTCTGGCCCTGGCCAGTTTTGCTAAGTGGTTAAAGTGTCGGCCCACAGACCAAAGGGTCACTCGTGGTTCAATCCCTGGTCAAGGGAATGTCCCTCAGTTGCAGGTTCAATACCCCTGGTCCTGGTCAGGGCAGAGAGGCAACCAATCTCTCTCTCTCTCTCTCTCTCTCTCTCTCCTCCACTTCCCTCCGTTCTAGTCTCTCAAAATCAATGGAAAAAATATCCTTGAGTGAGGATTAAAAAAAACAAAACAAGGAGACAGCACTGGAAACCTACAGGCCCGGAGCACCACCTGACCCAAGACAGAGGGGTGCCCACCACCTTGGGGTGTATGGGGCATTTTCCATGACCCAGGTGACACCGCCTCACCCAGATCCTGGAACTGCCCTCATGCAGGTGAGAGGAAAACAAACTGGCACTGTTGAACCTCCTGCTAGAAAGGAAAAGAAAACCTCTACTTATGAACCTGCTGAACTGATAAAAGCAAAACTAAACAAGAGTTCACTGTCAGACTTGGGCAGAGAAACAGTCCACCAGGTACATGAATAACCAAGGGTATCACACTCCCCAACTGCAAACCATATAAAAACCACATATGGCTCTAGCTCAGTGGTTCTCAACCTTCCTAACGCTGCGACCCTTTAATACAGTTTCTCATGTTGTGGTGACCCCCAACCATAAAATTATTTTCGTTGCTACTTCATAACTGTAATTTTGCTACTGTTATGAATCGTAATGTAAATATCTGATATGCAGGATGTATTTTCATTGTTACAAATTGAACATAATTAAAGCATAGTGATTAATCACAAAAACAACATGTAATTATATATGTGTTTTCCGATGGTCTTAGGCCAGTGGTCGGCAAACTCATTAGTCAACAGAGCCAAATATCAACAGTACAACGATTGAAATTTCTTTTGAGAGCCAAATTTTTTAAACTTAAACTATATAGGTAGGTACATTGTTATTAACTTAATTAGGGTACTCCTAAGGCTTAGAAAGAGCCACACTCAAGGGGCCAAAGAGCCGCATGTGGCCCTCGAGCCGCATTTTGCCGACCACGGTCTTAGGCGACCCCTGTGAAAGGGTTGTTCGACCCCCAAAGAACTGCTGATCTAAAGTGACAAAAATGTTGCTTTCCTTCCACCATTCACCACAAAGATAAGCATGACACTTAAATGGGCCTCTTTGAATTCTGGAAGAAATATGTACCACATTTGGGCAGCCTGCTAGATAACTAGTAAGTCTTCCAGTCTGAGAGAGGTCTGGATCAAGAGAAGTTTCTACAAAAAATCCTGGCTATGAGATGCTTTGTTGCTCTGTTATTTGATGAACCAGCATATCCAATTATACTAGAACTAGAGGCCCAGTGCATGAATTTGTGCGCAGGTGGGGTCCCTCACGGTGGCCTGCGGAGATCGGGCCCCAGCTCACACCCCAGCCTCGCAGCCCTGCAGCCCCTCCTGGCATCTCGCCTTGGCCTGGTGTTGCCCCTCACCTGCTCTACCATCCCGCCTGCAGAGCGATTGATCAGGGCCGGGCCCCCCACTGCAGCTGGTTTGGCTCACTGGATAGAGTGTTGGCCTGTGGACCAAAGGGTCCTGGATTCGATTCCAGTCAAGGGCGCATGCCTTGGTTGCAGGCTCCTCCCTAGCCCTGGCCCTGGTCAGCGCTTATGCAGGAGGCAACCAATCGATGTGTTTCTCTCACATCGATGTTTCTGTCTTTCCCTCTCTCTTCATTCTCCCTAAAAATTAACAGAAAAATATCCGTGGGTGAGAATTAACAAAACAACAACAAAAAGCCACAATATGGCCTGGCTAAGTGGTTGAGTGTTAACTATGAACCAGGAGGTCACGGTTAGATTTCTGGTCAGAGCACATGCTGGGATTATGGGCTTGATCACTAGTAGGGGGCGTGCAGGAGGCAGCCGATCAATGATTCTCTCTCATCACTGGTGTTTCTCTCTCTCCCTCTCCCTTCCTCTCTGAAATCAATAAAATCAAATAAAAAGCCACAATAGAACAGTACCCTATCGGCAGAAAAAGACACACAGACCAATGGGACAGAATTGAGAGCCCAGAAACACTTTCATATGGGCAACTAATCTTCAACAAAGGAACCAAAAACATACAATGTTGTCTAAGAAAGGGAAGTTTCTTCAATAAATGGTGCTGGGAAAACTGGACAGCCACATGCAATAGAGTGAAACTAGACTGCTGATACCACACACAGAAATTAACCCAAATTACATTAAAGTCTTAAGTGTAAGACCTGAAACAATAAAATACAAGGCAGCCAGCCCTAGCCAGTTTGGGTCAGTGGTTAGAGCGTTGGCCCTCCGACTGAAGAGTTGCGGGTTTGGTTCAGTCAAGGGCATGTACCTGGGTTGCAGGCTTGATCCCTGGTCCCTGTTGGGGCACCTGTGGGAGGCAACCAATCGATGTGTCTCTTTCACATCAATGTTTCTCTGTCTCTCCCCCTCCCTTCCACTCCCTCTGAAAAATCAATGGGAAAAATAGCCTAGGGCAGGGCTGGGCAACCCCTGGCACGCGTGCCAAACATGGCATGCCAGTAACTTTTACTGGCACGCAAAACCCTCTCTTATAATCTTCCATTTACAATTTTTTTCTTAATATCGACTTCTTTATTTTTCAGATAAATTCAGTGTAGGTGCATCTTAGATAAATAAATAATTTTACATAACAAGTTATCTTAAAGACCATAGACATGGATTGACGAGAGAGGGGAAGAGCAATTTCTATGCCTCTGCCTTAACTCTCCCTGCCTTCCTAGATCCGACCAGTGTTTTGGTTTCATCCACATACGCTTGTGAATCTTTGTTCTCAGTGATGAATTTTGTTAAGTCTCATAATAGGAGTAGCCTGACGGATGAAAGTAGTAGCTCGTGCATATCTCTGAAGGTCACGAAATATAAACCTGATGTAAAATCTCTGTCATCAGTGATGCAGCAGCAAAAGTCCCACTGATAATATCAAACGGAGTCATAAAGTTTTCTGTCGGACTATCAGTGTACATGTATACATTAAAAAATAAATGTATTTTTCATCATCATATACTGTGTTTTTGTCGCTCGAATGAATTTTATTATTTCTTCAAGGTTCTTCACATACGTACACCTTAAGAGATATCAAGTAGGCGTAACATGTTCTCAAAAAATTAGGGTTGGCACGCAGAAGAATTTTGAGTCAGAGATTTTGCTGGTTTTGACACGCACTCACAAAAAGGTTGCCCACCCCTGTCCTAGGGAGAGGATTAACAACAAAAAACAAAAAACAAGGCAACCAACCAAATGAGAGAAGATATTTGCAAACAATACCGCAGACAAGAGGCTAATTAATACCCACCATATATAAAGAACTTACTTATACATACAGCTCAACAATTAAAACAAAAACAATCCTATTAAACAATGAGCAGAGAACCTTTTCCTAAGGTGACACACAAGTGGCCAATAAACATATGAAAAGATGCTCAATGTCATTTCTCAGTAATCATCAGAGAAATGCAAATTAAAACCCAATCACAATGAGATCTCACCTCACACCTATCAGAATGGCTATCATCAATGAACCAGCAAACAAGTGTTGACAAAAGGGAACTCTTGTTCTGTTGTACTGTTGGTAGGATCATAAACTGGAGTAGCCACTATGGAAAACAATATGGAGGTGCCTCAAAAATTAAAAACAGAAATACCTTTTGACCCAGCAAATCCTCTTATGATTATTTACCCGAAAAAAACCCAAAACACTAATTCGAAATGACAGGTGCACCCTTATGTTCTTTGCTATATTGTTTACAATAGTCAAGATATGGGAGCAACCTAAGTGTCCACTGATAGCTGATTAGATAAAGACGAGCTACATACATACAATGGAATATTACTCAGCTATAAAAAAGAATAAAATCTTGCCATTTTCGACAACATGGATGGACGTACAAGGTATGCTGCAACGTGAAATAAGTTGGAGAAATAAGAAAGAAAAATACCGTATGATTTCATTTATATGTGGACTCTAAAGAACAAAACAAACAAACAAAATAAAATGGAAACAGACCCATAGATGCAAAAAACAAGCTGATGGTTACTAAAGGAATAAAAGGGGAGAAAGGGATGGGAACTGAAAAATAAATGGAAAATCATGTATCTGGTAAGCGATTAATATAAAAGAAGTAATGGATTAGCACTGCTCAATATATTATTCAAAACAGGTTGTAATGTCATCTTTCAGCACACTTGCTTTTAGTTTGTCCACCTGGCTTTACCACCTGGATAAAGAAACACAAACAACACTGCTATTCAGTCCCTGGTTATTTTGACCAATGAGGTCTATTTAACAACTACGTTCTGCACATCCGATTGGTTCAGCCACGCAGGGAGTTCATCTGTGACACTGAGGTGGGTGGGACACCTGCAGGCCACTTATAAGACTTTTTGTTTTGTAATACTGGCCAGAGGGAGGGCTATCTCAAAGGGCTTGGTTTCCTAAATTTTTTTGATAAGAATGATCTTGGCGCCCTAACCGGTTTGGCTCAGTGGATAGAGCGTCGGCCTGCGAACTGAAGGGTCCCATGTTCGATTCTGGTCAAGGGCATGTACCTTGGTTGCAGGCACATCCCCAGTAGGGGGCATGCAGGAGGCAGCTGATCGATGTTTCTCTCTCATGGATGTTTCTAACTCTCTATCCCTCTCCCTTCCTCTCTGTAAAAAAATTAATAAAATATATATTTAAAAAAATAAAGAATGATCTTGACACACACACACAACACAACACACACACACACACACACACACACACACACACACACACTCTCAGAATCAGAACTAATCCTAAAACTTACATGAAACCAGAATAGATGCCAAGTAACCCTGGCCGGCATGGCTCAGTTGGTTGAGCATCGTACCATGCACTGAGAGGTCACCAGTTCAATTCCCAGTCAGGGCACATACCCATATTTTGGGTTTTATACCCTATCAAGGTGCATGCAGAAGGCAACCGATCAATATTTCTCTCTAAAATCAATAAAAACGTATTATTCTTTTTAAAAAGGACACCAAATAGCCAAAGAAATTTTGAGAAAGAACAAAATGGGAGGTATCATGTGTCCTGATATCAAACCACACTATAAAGCTACAATAATCAAAACGGCTTGGTATGGGCATAAAAACAGACACACATATCAAGGGAACAGAACAGAAAACCCAGAAATAAATCCTCACTGTGTTCAATCGACCTACAAAGGAGGCAAGGATATACCATGGGGTACAGACTGGCTCTTCAACAAGTGGTGCTGGGAAAACTGGAGAGACACATGGAGAAAAAATGAAGGTGGACCGCACTCTGACTCTAGAGACAAGGCTCACCTCCTCGAAGACGCTCTTGCGGAAGTCGAGCTCCTCCTGCAGGCTCTGACAGCGGTTCTCCAGGTCCACGCGCATCAGCGTCTCCTTCTCCAGCTGCTTCTTGGCCACTGCATGACCGTCCTCTGCCTGGGAGACACAGGACAACAAGGTGAGGTGACGGCCTGTCTGCTACCCTCACGCCCTGCCTGTCTCTTTGTTGCACTCGTCTGGCTCCTCATGCCTGGGGATGTCCTTAACTACACAAACTCACCCCTGTGTGAAGTTCCTTGGCCACCCCAGGACCCTCACATGCCCACCACCTGGAGGCCTCTTGTCTCCAGACTGGGGCCTGTCCCAGGCCTACCTTGGCCAGCTGGGCCCGAAGCTCGGCCACATCACTCTCGAGGCTGTGCTTATCACTGAGGGCAGCGGCCAGCTCCGCCTCACTCCGGTGGAATAGGGACTCCAGTTCCTTCACGCGGCCCTGGGCCACCGTGAGCTCACCATCCCTCTTCTTGGAGCTGAAAGTCAAGAGCGGAGGTTAGCTGGGAGGACTGAGCAGCTGGGCGGTGCTGGCCCAGGGAGGGCCCAGGACAAAATTCACTTCTGCTTGAGCCAAGGGCCTTTTGCTCTCGGGACTTGACCCACGCCCCACTTTCTGGTACGGGAGCCTCGCCTGTGGGCATAAAAAGTGACCCTTCCTGAAACCTGCCCCGCACCATCAGGACTCTTTCCACCTACAAATGCAAGTGTTCAAAAAACCCTCAAGGCATGGGTTTTCATGTCCTTTTCTGAGATTTTTAATTGTAAAAGGGATCGCTTAGGAGAGAACGCTAATGTGTAATTTATTAAAGTTATAAATTAAAAGCCCGGCCTTTGAAAAGTTGATGTCCTGCATAAACTTTAGTTATTTCACACAGGATCACCTGGTATTCTAATAGACAATTATCTCCAATATCAAATATTTAAGATGTCAAATGGATTCTTAAATATACAACTCTTAAAGCATGAACTTTAGACTCCTATACATTTCTGAATGTAATTCTACATTTTCTTGGGGTTGAAAGCTTATCCACCTTTTCCCCAAGGAACTTATTGGGCCATCTCAGCAATTGTGGGGACACTAAGGGTCTCCCCCTCAGTACTGGGGACACCAGGACTGGGTCATTCTGTGGGGCTGTCCTGAGCACTGTGGGAGGGTGAGCAGCATCCCTGGCCCCCACCCTTGTGAGGACCACAAATGTCTCCAGACACCACCCAGTTCCCTGGGGGCAGTCACCCTGGATGAGAACCACGGGATGCTGTGCAAGCGCATGTGAACTGGGGTGGCATAAAGATCAGAGACTTCAGTGTGGAGAACGCCGTCCTCACACCAGAGACACGTGTGGAAGCAGAGAAGGCAGTGAAATATGCTGCCTATTAGACGTGAACCTGTTTTAAGGACAGATGAAGCAGGGAAGGGAGGTAGGGACTGAGCACATGCCAGATGGGAGCTGCACCTTTAAGTGGACTACCAGGTGCAGTAGTTCCAGCACAAGAGTGTTCAGGCCAGGCAAGTTCAAGATTATCAACTCTTGCACTTGTGGCAGCTCTCCCAGGCTTGTGCACCTGTTTCTTAAGAGCTTCAAGGTGTTCAAGCAGATGCCTTATCTGTGTAACCATAATTCCAGAAGGATTATGTGAGAGAAACTGGCCTACTTGTTGGATCCTCCACGTGGCGATCTGCAATTCTACCATCATAGGGATTTGGTGATGCATTTGTCAGGAAAAGAAATGCACTGGAGCCCGGCCAGTGTGGCTCAGTGGTTGAGCATTGACCTATGAACCAGGAGGTCATGGTTCCCTTCCTGGTCAGGGTATATGACTGGGTCTTGGGCTAGATCCCCAGTGGGCATGCAGGAGGTAGCCGATCAATGATTCTCTCTTCATTGATGTTTCTATCTCTCTCTTCCTCTCTGAAATTTAAAAAAAAAATGTATTTAAAAGAAAAAAGAAAAAGAAAAACAAAGTTGGAGGAATCACAATACCAGATTTCAAGTTATACTACAAAGCCACCGTAATCAAAACAGTACTGGCACAAGAACTGGCATATAGACCAATGTAACAGAACAGAGAACCCAGAAATCAACCCAAGCCATTACGTTCAATTAATATTTGACAAAGAAGGCAAGAGCATACAATGGAGTCAAGACAGTCTCTTCAATAAATGGTGTTGGGAAAATTGAACAGATACATGCAAAAAAATGAAACTAGACCACCAACTTACACCATACACAAGATTAAACTCAAAATGGATAGAAGACTTAAATGTAAGTCATGAAACCATAAATATCCTAGAAGAAACCATAGGCAGCAAAATCTCAGACATCTCTCGTAGCAATATGTTTACAGATACATCTCCTAGGGCCGTGGTCAGCAAACTGCGGCTCACGAGCCACATGCAGCTCTTTGGCCCCTTGAGTGTGGCTCTTCCACAAAATACCATGTGCGGGCGCGCACGTACAGTGCGATTGAAACTTCGTGGCCCATGCGCAGAAGTCGGTATTTTGTGGAAGAGCCGGTATTTTGTGGAAGAGCCACACTGAAGGGGCCAAAGAGCTGCATGTGGCTCGCGAGCCGCGGTTTGCCGACCACTGGCCTAAGGGATGACACACAAGTGGCCTGTCCCTCCTGCTCAGTTAGGACAGTGGTAAATAATTATGCCAACCAGACGGGCTTCTTCTGAAGCTTTTTCTAGAGACTATGGCAAGGATGATCCAGGTGATGAAGGGAAGAAGGAAGAGTCACAGGAAAGAGAGAGGCCATAGAACAAAGTTAAGATGGAGAAAAACTGACCAGAGCTGCCTCAACCTTTAACAGCTCTCAGTTCCAAATCTAGGCCATAGTGGCCATTCGAGAATGCACAACCTTCTTCATTGTTTGTTGTTGTTGTTGTTTTGGTTGGTTGATTTCCTTTAAGTGAACTGAATTAGTTTCTGGTCTTTACAATTCGAAGAGATAAGGTAACAACTGAAAACTGGTTAACTAGACTAAGTAGTACATAAAATTGTACTACTGAGTGTAATCACAGTTATCATTATTATTATTACTTTTAATATGCTTAGAAAAAAAAGACTAGAAGGAAATGAGTGATCATGTTATGTAACAAATGGTTTCTTCTGAGCAGTGGAATTAAGTTCTATTTATGTTTCTTTTATAATATATTTTAATATTTACTTTCCCAATGTGCTATGATGAGTAGCAAACATTTTAGGTACTTAAATACCATTGTGTAGTAAGCACTCAAAACTTATATCATTGTTGGTTCACTTATTCATCAAGAAAACCCAAATGAAGTGCCTACCATTTACCTCCTATCTCTATGGAATAGTAAGTAGGATGATGTCATTGCTAAGTTTCAAGAGTTATTTTGAATAATTGGCCAGAACATCCTTAGAAAGTAATATTGTATTTTCAAACTATTTTAAATTCTAATACTTTCTTATGTGGAAATTAATTGCTTTTGAGAAGGACAAGGTGTAGAAAAGACTTTTTCAGCTGTATCTTCAGGAATGGTGCTCAGATTTTGATTAGAGGAAGATGGAGGTCGAGGTGTTAATTCCACTATCATTAATATTATGATTCTAATTATTATAATTATACTTTTTTATAGCACCTTTCATCTTAGAGACTTGCAGTAACTAACTGCTTTGTCTATGAGCTGATTAACTCAGCACTGAGTGTGATGAAAATTTCTAGATGAAAAATATTTTGTCATAATGGAATTCTCATATATCCCAGTAAAGTGGAATGAAACTAACGTTGTTGGCTTCACCTTCTTTTAAATTGGATATAATCTGTACTGACCAGAGACAGACTGAGAAGTCCTGAAATTCTCTCCCCCACAATGTGAAAAGGGATGGTATCTGATCCAGTGGTTCCAGCGACTGCGTTCAATTTTGAAAAGCTGGTTAGATAAGGGAATATTGGCACAACTCTCTAGATATCCATTCTCCAATTAACAATGTCATTTTCTATTTTTCTAAGTGGAAACTGGGAAACTTCTCTTGGCATCACCAGCCTCTGCTTGGAGCTTATACTTTTCACAGGTGGTGACTGCACCAATTCCACAGCTTTGGAAAGATGTGGGGGTAGATGGTGGGAGGCAATAGAGAGAATGACAGTAATAATACTATATAATAAAAGCCTAATATGCTAAGTGTCCAACCGTTCAACCATTCGACCAGTTGCTATGATGCGTACTGACCACCAGGGGGTAGACTCTCCGACCAGTAGGTTATCTTGCTGCTGGGGTCCGGCCAATTGGGACTGGGCGAGACAGGCCAGACACTCCCTGGAGCTCTCCCACGGTCCCTTCCCGGCCCCGATCGTGCACCGGTGGGGTCCCTTGGCCTGGCCTGCGCCCTCTCACAATCCGGGACCCCTTGGGGGATGTCAGAAAGCCAGTTTCAGCCTGATCCCCACAGGCAAGGCTGAGGGACCCCACTGGTGCACGAATGCATGCACCAGGCCTCTAGTATATAGATAAACACCATGACCATACTATTCCTTCAGGCTCTACTATGCCCAACTCTCTACTTTACAGGAGTACATATTTTAGTATGAAGGTGACTCTATTTAAACACAGAATAAAGGCAACTACATGGGTTTCCCTATTTATTTTCTTTTACTTTGTATGGCATAATGAACAGACATCTAAGGAAAAAAGAAAGAATTAAAGGATCAAAAATAAACTGAACTTTTCTGTTGAGGAATTTTGGACTTGGAATAGACTTTAGCAATCTTGTCCACTTCATGTGGTAGATCACAGACATGCTACAGACACTTGGCAAATTTTAAACCTATGTATGTTTATTTGTGTGCGGTGTGGGATACATATGGATAGATGTGATAAACACGTGTAAAAAATTTAAGATGGTGTGCTTGCTTCAGCAGTACATATACTAAAATTGGAGCAATATAGAGAAGATTAGCATGGCCCCTGTGCAAAGATGACATGCAAATGTGTGAAGTGTTCCATATTTTTGGTACTGGAAATATCAAGTAGCAAATTATTGATACATGAGCAAAATTTATTTTGAGAAAAAAATCAGAAACAAAGAAGTAGTCACTCTATGATTCCATTTATATTGTCCAAGGACAAGCAAAACTAATGCAAAAAAAAATTTGAATAGTGATCCTCGTTGGGGCACAAATAGTTATACCCCTCATTCTACATATAATGAAAACCAAAGCTGCTGACGCAGATTGGCAAGGTTGTGAGAATAATGAGCACCCCCGCATGAATTTCGTGCACCAGGCCTCTAGTCCTATATAATAAAAGCCTAATATGCTAAGTGTCCGGTCATATCGTCTGTTCAACCAATCAAAGCGTAATATGCTAATGATATGCTAAGACCACTCAACTCCTTGCTATGACATGCACTGACCAGCAGGGGGCAGACACTCTGACTGGTAGGTTAGCTTGCTGCTGGGGTCCGGCTGATCAGGACTGAGCAAGATGGGCCGGACACGCCCTGGA